ATAATATAGTGATCTGAACTGTGCAACAGGGTGCAGAAAAACCACAAGTATTATCAGTGACCACTTTTCATAATACATTTCTAGTTTAAACACCAGTCCTTCCCCCTCTACTCCAATTAGAAACGTAATATATACATTCCCATGAAGTGGTCAAACTTTCACTGCCAAACTTACACTGAAGTGCTTACAGAGTTTTTACCTTTCCAAAAGAAACACACTTTAAAAAATGAAACAAAATAACCCATCAAAGATATACTAGCAATATCAATAAATGTGCTTAAAAATTAATATTAAATTCTGAACACATCAGACCAACACTTTACCTGAGCCTATAAAATTTAACTAAAGCTCATAAAGTGATCGAACTAACAATTTTAACAACTGTCATAAAAATAAATAAATGTCCCATACAGTCTAAAACAACCGTAGTAAAATCAGCAGGATGCAGAAATCTTTTCGCTATATATGTACAAATTTTGTTATGGATAAGTTTTGAATTCAAAAGAAAAACATGTTAATTAAAAATTCTGGACCTGAAAATCTGTTTGGTATATGAGTGTTCACTTTGTATATGTCAAGTCTGTATGTATCAATCAAAATATAGAACATTTTTGTACACACAAGAATGAACTCCTTCTCCAGTCCTCATCAGGGCATTTGACTTGTTCCGGTACATGCCCAGTGACAATGAAACAAAAACACAAAGTTTAATTAAGGAAATGTCAACAGCAATGAGTGCAAAGAAAGGGCCAATGATGAGCATTACTTTTTGAAGTTGAGTGACTCAAAGAGCATGGTATGTTAGAAATCTGTTTTTGGGAAACCAGTCCTAAAAGCATTCCCCTATCTACACACACACATCATCAGAATTTGTTCTGCCCAGAGTCTGTATTTATACAATAGAATAACCGAGTGAATATCATGAGAGTTAGCAATATCATAAAGAGGATTAAAGCAAAAGGCTTTATTATCCAAAAGTTATTTTTAAAAGTCACTTAAGTCATGAGTTACAATGCAGTCACTGTCATGAGAAGTACATTCTACACAGGTGTTAAAGGTAAAGACGAGAATTAAAGTCACAAGCTAGAGCAAGGATGAGGTAGCTCAGGTTCTTCATATCACTCCTACATCTGACCTGACCTCCAAATCCCATCTACACACACCCCTCCAAAAACCTGTATCTCGAGCGCTAACCGTATCCCCTCATCCTTTTTTCCGTAAATTGTGAGCGATGATGATGATGATGTATCTTACTCAAAACAGGTTGTCCCTGAGAGGCAGTGTCGAAGCAGCCTGCTTTCAAAATGATGTAAATTATATTGATGGAGGGAGCAAACATTTACAATCAGTCAACCAGTATTGCACTACTCGTCTGGTGATCATGTTCACTGAAAGCTTCTTCCATGGATGAAAAAAAAAATGCTCTTCTTCATTATCTGCCTCTTAGAAGCTAAGCTGATCATTGGTGGAACAAGGTCGAAACAAAACAATCCCAAATTAAAAATCAGGCACAGAGCTTTGGCTGACTAGAATGCCTCAGTACACAGACCAATCTCATAGGTAGGCCTACATGCAATGAAGAAATTACTACAACTTTGAGACTTTCATTCAAAGTAAAATAATAGACTTTTGTTCAATTACATCACACCGGTCTTTGAAGCTGATGACTGTGGTTCAAATCCCCGAAAAGGGGCATTTTCAAACTTGAAATGTTGGGGTAGCTTTTCACTGTTTGCCACCAACTTTGCTCGCTCACTCTTCTGAAAGAAGGACATGAAATCAGAGGAGCCTCCTCTTGAAAAACTAGATGGGAAGCATTGTGGTGAAATCAGGTGCTCATCAAAATAAATGAAACTGAAGAAACGGGCACTTTTCCACCTGTGGTTTTTTTTCCTTCCAATTCTTGTTTTCTTTCTCAACACCTTTAAATGTCCATTTGAAAAGATATATTTGTGTGGAAATTACTGGAAAATGTTGATCAAAGGCACAATAAATGTAAATTTTCAGTTTCCAAGGACTCTCAAGTTATGGAAGTGACCAAACTTTGGCGGCCATTTTTTCACCAATTTTACCTCTGAAACCAGGAAACCCCCACCTGCTTCAACTGCAAATATCTCAACTACGGTACTATTCAAGTTAGATGGGTTTTTTTTCACCATATGCAAGACAAATAAACTAACATTAAGATGTTACTAATAACTCCATATGCCCAAAAATTGTGGAGCGCTTGATTCCATCGCCTGGCAACAAATAGATCTATGATGAATTAAACATCATTGAATGCATGTTACACACACCATAATATAAAATCATTACAAATGCACATTCAGTGTTATTGTGAACAACACACACAAGCTATGTGAGCCCCAACAGAACATCTCATACACAATCATTATAACAATAATTGGTGTCAGTTTAGCTGATGGTCTACTGTGCATGCTCTGCAACAGTCAACTGGTCAACTGTTAGACTTGACCAATTGCCCACGGTCTACCGCAAAACGCAAGTCTCTCCTGATTGGCCAAGATAATAACAGAACTGGGGGGCATTGGGATCAAAGGCAATGGCATATACAATGGCGGAAAGTAAATGGGCGGTTTGCTTCGTTTTGCAGTGTCTTTTAGAGGGAAGAATTTTGCAGTTGTAAAGATTATGATTGATAAGTAAATAGTTGTGACATCAAGAGACCGGACGGGACTATTTTTCTAGAAATCAGGGGGGGGGGGGGGAGGGGCAATTCCCCCGAACTGCCCCTCCCCCCCCCCCCCAAATCGATCAATCTGCAACTACAAAATCCCTTTTAACATGACCAGTGACAGTCCCAAGCCTGCATAAACACGAAGGGAAAATGTAAACTGATCCCTGTCTCAAGTCACAAAAGGTTGGAAAACACTTACAATGATATTAGTAATAATTATGCCACGACTATGAATAATAATACGAATAACAAAAAACAATAGAATAATGTAACAATGAAAAGAATAATAATAGTAACAGCAATGCTAACAATAGCAATAACAGCAATAATGATAACAATAATAATAAACTTGCGTAAAAATGTTCCACTCAATGCTAACAATAGCAATAACAGCAATACTGATAACAATAATAATAAAACTGCGTAAAAATTTTCCACTAAGGGAAAATGAAAACTGACCCCTCTCACAAGTCCAAAGCCACTATAAACTAATAGACCTCCGACTAAACCAGTTGTCAAATCGGTCCAGCAGCAGACCTTCAACTAAACAAGCACCCAATAATTGTCCAGTTTCAGAGGTCTCAGTGTACCGTCATGGTTACAAGAGTAATGAGTAAATGATGTTTTCAATTAGTAGTCTCATCATCATCATCATCATTCGGTGCCTTGCCAACTGGCGTGGGCGATCATGGACCTACACTTCACTCTGTTGTGCGTTGCAGAAATGGTGCCTGTTGTTCTTGCTGCTCCTAGCCATGTTATGTCATCTTGTCCAGTATCTTTTCCCTCTATCTGCCACTGCCTCTCTTTCCAACAAAATCGCCTGTTGTTACAATATTCTCCAATGCTTCTTTCCGCAATGTGAGTCAGAAGATATTTGCCTGTCGCTTTCTTATATTCGTCATAAGCTTTCTTCTACAATTTGCTTCAACCAAGACTTTTTCATTTGTTTTTCTAGCTGTCCATGGGATACGTAGCACGCGTAATTAGTAGTCTACAATCACCAAAATACCAGTGTGGAGAAACAGACCAACCTGGGGAACACAACCTCCAACAGCCCGGGACACTATTTGACCCTGATTTATAACAAAGGCTGAGTTAAAAAAAAGACAAATTGAAGTAATTCATTTTGAAGTGACAGTGACCAATAACTGTTATCATGGCTGCTAAAGTGGAACCTCATCCTTGCAATTTGCCATTGCTGATACATTTCAATCCTCCACTTTCTGGTTTGTTTTTCATTTTTTTGTCAGTGCACACCTGCCTGACCATTTGACTTTCAAAGATCTGATAAGGTTGAATAGAGTCTCCTCCAAATATTTGGAATATTATCTAATACACTGATATGTCTGCAAGGTGTGTGAAAGCATATTACGTCTGCAATGTATATGATTTACATATGCATTGATATGTTTACAAAGTATATGTGTGTTTTTCCTACCAATAAAAAAAACAATAATCTACGAACTGAAATCACGAGCAATGAAAATGAAAACAGACAAACAACAAAACAGAGAAAAACAGAGAAAAAAAAAGGTTGATTAGATTGACTTTGTGAATTTCAGAACACTGACATTTGTTAATAACCAAATCCCCAACGCTCAAGGTGTCATAACCCCAAATTTAAGTGGTCAAGCCATTCTGAACACATCTTCTGTGTGTTTTGTGTTATTCTCAAGCAATACATCCACATACAATAACTTTCTGCTAGGTAACAGTTATATGTAGACCTATAGCGTGCACTTCCAGACAAGATCTTCACAGGAAACATAAAGGGCAAAAATACAATCACTTGTCAAAGACAATCACCTGTACAAACGACGAGTTCCCCCATTGCCTTTTCTCTTTATATCAAAATGACACTCTCGTCCAAGAGGTCCGCCTGTCCAAGATGGACATTCTTCTCTTTGACAATGCGCTACCTTAGAATTACAAAGTTTTACTTGAAATTTTTGGCAGCTTTGAGTTACGAAGAGCATGAGGTCGGAAGCCAAATGCTCTTTCTGCTCTATAAAAATCGTAAGACTGTTTGAGTCACAATCAGGATATTCAAAGAATTGTATTTGAAAAAGCTTGACATGTTGTGAAACTCAACATTTTTCACGTCAAAGTTTTCAAAGCCAGGTACTGAGCAGATAGAACATTGGTATTGTAAGATAGTGAATGGGTGATTGTCTTAAATAGGTTCGACTGCAACTCATTTCCAACAACCAACAAACCCCCAGGAGTGGAAGAAGCTGGCTGTAAAATTCTACTGTGTGTGTGTGTGTGTGGGGTGGGGGGGGGGGGGGGGGGGGGGGGGGGGGGGAGTGCCCCAACTGTCAACCAGACCACAGGATAGGTGAAGGTGAGGGTGAAGCAACAAACAAACAAACCTCCTCTTTTTAAAACATTACAAAATCAGAGGTTACTATTGGGGATCACATTGGTCTCTGTGAGGATAGCTATAACGAGGAAAGCCACATAGAGACAGACCAGGGCGATCCCGTACGGTCGAGACATTTTGAACCCTGACAGAGGCACGATGAGCAGAGTGGCAATGAGGGATGTGCCGAGACCCGCGGCCAGGACCATTTCCTCCAAGGTGACTGCAAGCTGTGGATGTGGGGAAGAAGAGGTTGGAAAGCACTTACAATGATATAAGTAGTAATTATGCTATGACTATGAATAATAATACGAATTACAAAAAGCAATGAAATAATGTCACAATAAAAAGAATAAGAATAGTAACAATAATGTTAACAACAGAAAATAACAGAAATGATGATAACAATAATAGTATAGTAAAAATAATAAAATTGATTTATAACAATAATAAAAATAACAATGACAGAAGAACTAGAAGAACAGGAAGAAAAAAGAAGAGAAGAATAACAAGAAGAAGAAGAGGAAGAAGAAGAAGAACAACAAGAAGGACACACAAAACTAGAAAAAGAACAACAAGAAGAAAAAACAAGAACAAAAACAAAAACAAGAACAAGAATGAGAAAGACACTAATAATAAAAATGACTATATATACCAGTATGGACAAATTAAAACATTAGAATCTGTTAGGGGCACATATTTGAAGAAGCCATGAGAGACATCACAGAAGAGGAATGTAAAGTAAAGAGAAGTACAGTCGAACGTGTGTAAGACGGCCACCCACTGTCAAGGAGAAAAGTGGCCACATAGGACAGGTGCCTGTCTTAGGCAGGACTGATCAAGATGAAGAAAACAAACCATTCCCTTCTGAAGTCCCAACCGAAAGTTTCCGCATTGTTGTTGTTGTTCTGTATTTTGTTTGTTATTTTCATTTTGTCGCTGATTTTGCACAAGGGTGACAATAAAACGAAATGTATCAGACACGGAGGACCGAGTGCTATGGTAAAACAAACAGATGGGTCGCCACCACTCGGAGAACAAGCGACGCTTCTGTCACAAGTTCATGTTGATGTCCATAGTTACTTTGTTACAGACTGGGCAAACAGTGATCATTCATCTCACTTACGATTTGTGTATGAGCTCTGGGTGGGGATTATGGGTTATGAGGGATCACATGCTTACCTCACCAGCAGCTGAAAATTGATTACCTATTGGTCAACTGTGGGAGGGGTCAACGCAACATGATCAGTTGGAGGGATAACCTAACAACAACGACAGGTGATCGAATTATGACTGCTCGCACAGAACGCCGCGGGCCAATGCATAATTTGTGACAAAACATAATGGAGCCATTAAGGTGGCTGTCTAAGACAGGTGTTATTGTTCGGTGTGATAAGGGTTGTGTGTTAAAATATGGTGGCCGCGTCCGTGTTGGAAAGGTGCCCGTTTTACACAGTGAAATTATGTAGAAAAAACGCAAAAGGGGAAATTGAAAAAGGCCGTTGGTACAGGTGGCCGTTTTATAGAGGCAGGTTCGACTGTACATCATTGACACAATAAAAATCATTTTTGGTGTTAGTAAAAAAGAAAGACTTACAGACAGAAACAGCAGTGGAGGTGTAAAGAACTAGTCCCTTCCAGGGGCTCACTCAAACCACTTCCATTAACTCTTTATCTCGGAAGAAGGTAAACCCACTATGCCCGGGCCCTATTTTGGTACGAAATCTGAAACTGACATATTTGCCACTAAATCGGTTATAAAATCAAAACAAGTAAACTCATTTCAATAGATCTTCACATAATGAATAAACTCCCTGTAAAAGAGACCTGTTTTTTGCTATTGCTGAAAAGTAATTTGACGTTGAAGTCGTCGTAAAGAAATGTGCCTGATCAGACAAGTGAAACTTGCCGGAGATAAAGAGTTAATTTAAAACAGCAAGACGACATAACATACTCACATGGAAGACACCATCCTTTTGCAGACAAGCTATGGTGAAAGGCACTCCTAAACCAATGAGTAGGTCTAACCAGAGTTAAGGTCATGAACAAAATGTTGGAAAGATACAATTTTTCTTAATAAACCTCTCATTCAATTGGTCACTTTTAACAAAGGCTGGGAAATATATTATCATGTCTAACTTCAAGGCTGTAATAATGTTCTCCGAGACACTGAATAAAAATTCTCTCCAAATGGGAATAGATTTCTGTGTGTGCAAGTAAAGCACCTGACTGCAACACTGCAAACGCTGGTCACAGTATTAATGTTGGGTGTCAAACCTTCCAAAATAAAGTTTAATTAAAAAACTGAACTCACAAAAGCAATGAAAAAAAAAAAGGATACTAAAAAGAGGTCCACCAAAGCAGGCAGAGATTCCCATGCGAGGATATCCCTGACGAGCAAGAGACATGTCAGCCACCAGATCTGTGAAATATATAAAAGACAGCATTTGTATAGCGTAAATTCCCACTCAGCAGCAAGCTCTATGCACTTTACAATCTGTTATTAGAGAGAAGAATAATCGAGAGTTACGGGCCCATGAGACTAGGGGGCGCTGGGCGGGCCGAAATAGCTTGTGATTGCGAGGTAGAAAGACTGTACTTACCGACTGGCGCCACGTTCGAGATCCTCACGTCTTCTCCAGTGAGTGAGTTGACGCCAGTCGGTAAGTACAGTCTTTCTACCTCGCAATCACACAATCTATATTATTACCCCATCAGACCTGATAGTACTCTGAAACAATCTCAACTTCTCAGAAGCATTCAGTGCAAGTCGCCATTTTTATAGGTCGTAAAACACAAACAAACTGACAGGACCTTTCGCTGTCTATGGTCAGGTACCCATTCTCACTTGGGTGAAGTGAGGAAATTTCTTGTAAAGGGCCTTTTCCCAACGACACAACGTTGGGCCTGAGGCTCGAACTCCCAAACTCGCAACCTCACAATTACGGATCCAGAAGTCTAACCACTAGACTACCAACGCAACTGAATCATACAAGAAACCGTCAATTTTTGTACTCTCTCGACAAGCACAGTCTAGCACACACATAGCAAAACAAGTGGATGCAGAAATCTTTTTAGTAATGTAAAAATTTCAGTATTTCAGAATTTTGGGCTATGTTTAGAGACAGGGATGGGGACTAATCCCCCCAAATTTTTCTGAAGATTCTGCGACAGCAGCAGGGGGTCAGCCCCCCAGAAGCCGGGAAGAAAAGTGCTTTGAATTAAAAAAAAAGAATTACAATAAGGTGTTATTTCACTAGTAAAAAACATAATTGACAAGATTTAAAAAATACAGAAGCCTACATTCATCTAAATACTTACATTACAATGAATGCTTCTACAGGTCAGATCAATGTTATTGTTTCATGGTCAAGCAGTAATTTTTTTCCCTGCATGTTCATGTTCTTGTGTTCAAAAAGGAGGAGAAATGGTAGTATGTAACTCCTTCAAGTGCAGTGCAGCAATAGTTTGTCCACACCCACTTTCCCACAGCAAGAAATTGTTCAAATTCAAAATGCAACAGTACAACCGACGGCAATTAAAAAAAAAAAAATAATTGGAATTCTGAACATTTTTGGAGAATCCCCATCCCTGAAGAGAGACAGACAAAGTTGAACAATTGGGTCAAAACTTTACATGAATTATTCCTCTTATGTCACATCAAAGTACCCGTTGAGTTCTTAGTTTCAACATTTTGCAGGCTACAGTTTTTTACATCAATTTTTTAAATCCACCTCTGCTAGGATCAGACGTTTTTCATCAACTGAGAAGCATTTCAGCTTCTTATGCACCGCCACAGTCCACTTTCTACTGAAACATCACTTAACCCTATCTGTACGTCCTGGGGTCATTTTGTACCCCGGGGTTGTATTCTTCACATTTTAGAATACTTCTAATATGAAGATTTCTTTGAAACTTTCAGTGTTTCTCAAAAAAAGCATTTTGACAGACTAGCGTACCAATCGGATTAAAGAGTAAATTTCCTCTTTGAAAGTGGTGGCACAGAGTTCCCCATGTCGTATAGATACGATAGTAAAACACGACGTATGGAAAGGGTTAAAACTAACTTTGCAGAATTCCTGCAAGCTGTTGTGTATTGTGAAATCTCTGGCTAACGCTGACAAACATGCAGACATGATAAATGTAAAGCGCACAGAGCATGCAGTAGACTGTGGATATGTACTATATAAATGCAATTATTATTATCATTATTACTATTATTGTTGCAATAATAATTATCATTATCATTATTGTCCTTGGCTTACAGAGAGGTCATTGGCCTTCACTCATAATACGTCTGCCCTCTCTGTCTCTTTCCCTCTGCGTCTCTCTCATCCCAGCTACTTCAGTAAAATAAATTTGTGTTTAAGTTTAATTAGATCTACCCATGCTGATGCAAAAAAATCTTTTCACTATGTACGCATTGTTTTCAACATGTGCATATTTTGGAAACAAAGAATATACAAGAGAAATTTTTTTTAACCTGAATATCTGTTCACAACGTTTTTCACTATGTACCTATTTGCTATGTGCTTGCTAGAGTGTATTTAGCTTTAGAAATTAGATATGTAATTCTGCCATCAACAGTGGTATTGAGATCAGTCACTTTAGGAGCTTCCCCACTTTAAGAACTACAATTTCAAAAGTAGGTATACTGTCCTGCTTTTAAAAAAAAAAAGGGTATGCGCTAGACTAGTTAGTACACCAAACTATAAAACAAAACAAAAAACCCTTGATTTTGACAGATACGTCGCTATACCTAAGACAGCAGAGCAATTATGGACAAGTTGACACAGGATGTTCACAGGTATTTAATTAATAGATAGATAGATAGAAAGATAGATAGATAGATAGATAGACAGACAGAGAGACAAACAGACAGACAGACAGACAGATAGATAGATAGAAAGATAGAGAGATAGATAGATAGATACAGGCAGACAGACCGACAGATAGACACAGACAGACAAACAGATATATAGATAGATAGACAGACAGACAGACAGATATATAGATAGATAGACAGACAGACAGATAGTTACTTGTAGTTACCAACCTCCAATACTGTTGCCCCAGGCTAGTAGGGTCAGGCCTAGAATTGCATCAGACAGGTCAAACACAATGCCAAAAGCCTGTAAATACAACAAGGGGTGATACACAGTCTGAGTTTTTAGTAGTAGAAAGAATTTTACAGCACCTGCAACACAAATAGGTCACACAACTGCACACGATTAGAGGTGTTATTAGAGAGTACCATAACATACAAAGAAAAGGAGGAGAGATGAGAACGACAATTTTTCTTAGAGGAAAGAAGGAGCAAACCACATCAGAGTTCCCTCCAACTATCCACCAACAATCTGAGAAAGGCAGCATGTGTACCAGAACGATTTAAAATATTTTAAGCCCCCATCAGTAGAATTTTTTTTCTTGTTCCCTGCCCTGACTTTGGTGCCAATATTTGTAGGTTACATAAAAATGTGCCAACATGAAGCAGATTGCTGGGCTTAAAGGAAAACAGAACAAGAAAAAGGGGAATTGTTTGGTCTCTGATGATGATGAGGATGATGACGACAACGACGACGATGATGATGATGATGATGATGAATCAAAAGAATTTAAATCAATAAAGAGGTGGGCTGTTTCAACCCTGAGTGTTAGGAGTGGGATATAACATCCCAGGAGACAGTTGGAGACACTCGATAAAATAACTACCCCCCGACAGGAATCAAATAATGTTGCTTCTAAAATTGCAGAACCAGATCGCAAAACAAAATTATGTGTTGGTTGTTCTACACAAAGAAAACTAGATATGTGCAACACTGAAAGTGTAGCGACCCTCAAATCACATCTTCAACGTACAAGAGCAAAGAGCCCATCTAAAACGCCACTGACACCGGTTGACATATATAAAATAAAGGAAACACAATAAAAAATCTGAATAATTATTCTACTTTTTCAAAGTGGCCCCCAAAACGCCTCTTCAAGGGATGTCAAATGACCACAGGCAATGAGCATCCTCAGAGAGTTAAACTTCCCATGAAAACAAAACAGAGAGACCACAAAAATACCAACCTGTAAAATATTGACGATCTCGTTGGCAATGCTATAAATCCACACGACGGCCACCACAAAACCCAGGTAGGCGAATGCCTGAAAAAGAGAAATGTTAATTAATATGTTTGTTTTGTTGTTTCTTTTTGTCTTCTTTCCACAGAAAGTGGTAAAAGCTTGTGACACATAGATATATATATCTGTTAAAAATCCCATTGCATCAAGTGTCCTAGATGGGTCGAGGCTGGAAATGCAGATAAACTGTCTCCTAGTTTTCTATCAAAAGAATGGTTTGTGTATATCAAATGGCTAGCACGTCTCAATATCAATTTGGATTTTATTATTTTGGTCTCCATAATTTTTGTATAACATCCTGGGCTGGGAACACAAGACAACAAGATAAATAAAAATTAAATCGATTAACACGGAAAGCATGTAATATTTCAACATCTACATTCCTCTACCTAAATGAATTGTACATAATAGCTTACACAAAAAAAAACATAATTCCATCTTTTTAGACAACAAACATCCCTTGTTCCCTCCAATAAAAACATCACTCAGAAGTACTTAAAAGACCTAGGCTTCTGATCTGTAACAAAGAAAGATACAGAAGGTCATTTTTACCATCATCCATCAAAATTCTTCCATCTTAACCATCTTGTTACAAGTATTCATATGAACTTAGAGCATGCATTAGAATAACATTGAGTATGTATCTAGCTTAAGATTATTATTGTTTATATTGCCGTTCATTTATATTATGCATGTGACTGTAAGCCTGTGTGTGTGTGCATGTTTGTGAATGTGTGTGTGTGAGCGAGTGTGTGTGTGTGTGTGTGTGTGTGTGTGTGTGTGTGTGAGTGAGCGAGTGTGTGTGTGTGTGTGTGTGTGTGAGCGAGTGTGTGTGTGTGTGTGTGTGTGTGTGTGTGTGTGTGTGTGTGTGTGTGTGCGTGCGCGTGGTGAAACACCAAACCAATGTGCCAGGATCTGGACAACAAAGATGTATCTTATCTTATATTCAAAGCCATTAATCAATTGCTTATTTTTACTTGTGTACCCCCTGAGAGCTAAAGAAACGTCACATTACATGACCCTTGCCTGGCTGCTTCATTCTAAATTACTAAAGACCTGAAAGATATTCTTTCATTTTTCAGTGGTATTCAATAATCTTTTTAACTCAGTCCTCACTAACTCAGGAGTTCACCACAAGAAGCTAAGGGCTGTTGCAATAGGACTTACTTGTGTCATATAAGTACGGAGCAAAGTTTCTGAATGTGAGGCAACGTGGTGAAATCAAGCGCTCCTCAAAATTATGAAATCAGAGAAAAGGGCATTTTTATGCCGGTTTGGCAATTTTTATTGAATTTTAACATTTGGATTAATACATTTTATGTCTTTTTAAAGACACAATTCTGCCCGGATTTTACTGAAAAAAAGTTGATTAAGAAGATAAAATGTGAATTTAATTTCCCAAGGACTCTGAAGCTATGGGTACCAAACTTTGGTGGCCAATTTCTCGATAATTTTACCTCTGAAAACAGGTGACCACCACCTTCTTCAATTAGAAATATCTCGACTTCTATTCAAGATAAAAGGGTATTTTTTTTTTCAAAGAATGCAAAAACAAATGAACATGATTTAAAATGATACCATTAACTCCACATGCCCCAAAATTGACAAGTGCCCGATTCCACCGCATCGTGACACATGGAAAAATCCCATTGCATCAAGTGTCTTAGATGGGTCGAGGCTGGAAATGCAGAGAAACTGTCTCCTAGTTTTCTATCAAAAGAATGGTTTGTGTATACCAAATGGCTAGCACGTCTCACTCAGTAATTTTTTTTTTCCCCTTTAGATGTACCTCAACTCATGGTTAAGTTGTAGTCTGCGATGATTTTATTTAGGTACAAATCACAGATGAAGATAAAAGAAACACAAATCTGCAAATGGGAGTTAGTTTTTAACCCTTGCAGCCCTTGTCTCATATATTTCTCTCTTGATATCATCTTCCCCCTGGTCTTGTATATGTCCCTCACAAGGCAACAGCTATCTCAAACCAAGTCAGGTATTTTTTACTGCAATCCATCAAATTGTCCCTGAAAAATATTCTTCAATGTTATCTTTCAGCACTTCAAACAAAAGCAGTATAGAAATGTTATTATTTTCATTGCAAAAAGTTGTGTGTGTACCTAGAGAGAGGTCCCAGTTGTTGGAAATTTTGGATATTGAATTAAGGGCATTTACTTGTAGCCAATTCAATGATGAACATGCTGACTTTTTAAATTTTCAAATATTTTGAGCAGTTTTAAAGATATACCACATTTTGTAACATAGGGTGCAAAAACAATGTTTGGAGAAAAACCTAGTTTTTTGGGCAAATTTTAACCTTTGACGAAGTACAACATGCCGCATAAATAACTAATAAAAAACATTAAGCCTTAAAATATTATAAAATCCTCTTAATATATTATTAAGAAATGGTTAAACAGGTGTTTTCTGATGGGAAAATTTTTTTTATCAGTACAAATTTTTTTGCCTTTTCACCCTGCTGCTCGAAAATAGCGTTACCGACAACTGGGACCTTTCTCCAGACACACACACAGTTTCAGAAGCAATCAGTATTGGCTGGATCTGTTGTGCTTATGGCTTATTAACTACATGACAGTGAGGTAGAGGACAAGGATCAGACGGTCTGAGGAGTCAAGGACTCCAGCAGTATGACTTGGGCTAGAGGGAAGAGAGGGCTAAAAGTAGCCTTGTGCTGTATCAGTTAAAACATTACCGTCGCATGCTCATATGATCTTATGCAGTTGTGAGCACAGCAAAACTCTTACCAAATTGAAACTTAAATTAACGACAACCATTACTGAAACACTTACCGTGTGATACGGTGGACGCTCGTCAGTCTTTGAAGTGAAGAAAACAAGGGCAGCCAGAATGGCGCAGACAACCATGACCAGGGCGTAGACGGGAAAAACTCCACCAATCCAATTCAACCCCACTGTAGGCAGAGACACAAACAAAAAAAAAGATGATATTACCATGATTGGTAAAACAGTTTGGTAACATTACAATGGTCCTCCAAAGAATGACTTACTTTACTTTTATACTTTTATCCACCACTTATACCCTTTTGGGTGTCGCGGGAAGAAAGAGACGTCTCTCTGTCGCCAGCCAGAGAGTTGGGTTAGGGGGATGCCATGGGTGGTTACTGTTTCCCTGACTCCATCTATCCAGGTCTTTCTCGGTCGCCCTCTAGCCTTGTTGCCATCAAATTTTTTTATGTAGGCACGTTGTGCTGGATGGTGTGTTGGTAATCGTAGGAGATGTTCGAACCATTTGATTCTTTAGTGTTGAATGTGATGCATGACATCATTTGTCCAAAGAATAACATATCTCTTGAAGAGGTCATCCACCTCGCCCTTGACTGAAAATTTTACATCTCCTCGACATCTAACAATAGACGGTTACATGAGAAGGGAAAAAGTAATCTGAATACCTGGAGGTGTTATCTCTGGTTCAGAGGTCGACATGTAATGACTCGCTAGTGTTTACAATCGCTAATTGTCGCTATACACTCTGTCATACTTAGACTAGTTCATGACTTGATGTTGCTGGTCCATGTTGTTCTTTGTACACCCTTGGCCTTTTTGCCCCACATCTTGCCATCGAGTATAATGTATGTGTCACTATGTAGAGGAGCAAGGCATTTGTCAATTTTTGGACATGTGGAATTATTAGTATCATCTTAAAGCTTGTTCCTTTGTTTTGCTTTCGATTAAAAAAAAAACCCCAACCAATCTATCTTGAAGAAAAGTCAAGATATTTGTAATTGAAAGAGGTGGATTTCAGAAATAAATAAATAAGTGAGAAAATGGCCGAAAAAGTTTGGTGAATTAGTAGCTTGAGAGTGCTTTTAAACTGAAAATGCACAGTTTTGTGCCTTTAATCAATGTTTTTTTCCAGCGAAATCCACACAGAAATGTGATTCTAAATGGACATTAAAGGTGCTGAGCCAAAAAACAAAAATTCTATCAAAATAGGTACACAAGGAGCAAAATGATGATTCATCTATTTCAATATTTAGACGAGAGCCTGATTTTACCACGATGCCTCACACACTATAATTATACATACTTTGCACTAATATAAATATACTATTTAAGAATGTCTCACACTTAGTGGCGAAGCAGGCAAACACTGGTCCTGTGAAGACTTGCAGTGAATTGAGTAGCCGGTTCCAGTTTCGAGGGTCATTGGGTTCACTTTCATTGTGCTCCCCCACCACAGGGACAGTAAAGTTGAGCACGAGCATCAGAGGGCACTAGGGACAGATAAGTATTATCATCAATAGGAATATTGATGTTTTACAGTCTGTGTGTGTGTGTGTGTGTGAGTGTGTGTGTGTGTGTGTGCGTGTGTGCGTGTGTGTGAGTGTGTGTGTGCGCGCGTGTGTGTGTGTGTATGGGGGGGGGGTATTTGTGTGTGTGTCTGTGAGCCTGTGGTGTGCAAGTGTGTGTGTGTGTGTGTGTGTGTGTGTGTGGGTTGAGGGGGGAGGGGTTTGAGTGTGTGTGCGTGTGTGTGTGAGTGTGTGTTTGTGTGCATATGGGGGGGGGGGGGGGAAGCATGTGTGTGTGTGTGTATGTACGTGTGAGAGTATGTGTGTATGAATGTGAGAGTATATGCATAAGTATATGTTGGTGTACATGTGTATGCATGTGTGTGAATATGTGTGTGTGTGTGTGTGTGTGTGTGTGTGTGTGTGTGTGTGTGTGTGCATGCTCCTGCAATCAGGAAAATTACCATTGGCGTTTAATTACTTTAAATAACCCGCAGGGTTTAAAGCTAAGGACGAAAGTCATGGTTTATAGTCCGAACTTTACGGGTACATTTTTTCATCACACCTACCTTAAAGCACTCAAAGACCTTGCCGAAAATCCTTTTCTCTCTCCACCCCTCAACATCAATGGGATTGACATCATCCAGGAAGGCTCTCCACAGGCCACGGTCACCTATAGACTCCACATTACTCTCGCCGGGGTCCTGCTCTATCTGGACACTCGGTGACACGCGACGGTTGATAGAACTCATTAAGGGCTGAGACTCATCTCTTTCGACCTCGGAGCTTGTTAAACTTTCCTCAAGTAAACCTGAAAAATATTTAATAGACTTCTGTGCAAATAACTGTGGCGTTGGCGGCCTAGTGGTTAGGTTTTCAGACTCACAACCATAAGGTAGTGAATTCAAATCTTGTCTGGGGCCCGGCGTTGAGTTCTTGAGAAAGGCACTTTACACAAACTTTCCTCCCTCAGACTTGCAACCTGTGGTTTTAAATCCTAACAGGACTCTGACGTTGTGTCCATAAGAGAGACACTTTACACAAATTTTCCTCACCTCACCCAGGTGGGAATGGATGCCCGACTATAGACAGTGAAAAATTGTTAGTGTTTTAATGAGTGCAATCTGCAGATTGTACTGTACACTTCCCAAGAAGCTGAGAATGCTTCTCAGTGTTCTAGAGTCTGCTGGGGTGATAATAGTTGTAAAGCGTATAGAGCATGCTGTAGATTGTGGATAAATGCCCTATATAATTTACATATGCTGCCTTTTTGCCCCAAGAATTTGCTTTCCTTATCCACACAATCACACACAACCCTCAAGCATTAGTGAATAAAGAGTAATGAGAAAAAGTTTATTTTTCAAAAATAAAATGTATATCTGCTTCGCTCTTGTCACAAATTGTGTTCTTTTTATGATTCCATCGTTCTTCATTGGAAGTAAGTTGCCACTGAGCCGACAAAGGTCATGAGCAAATGTAATATCGCTATCCACCTCCATCTGTCTGTCCCTCTGTCCATCTGTCTGTCCCTCTTTAGGAGGTGGGCTTCCGACCCTGCCTGTAAAGGCCAACCAGGCTGAGAGAGATACAACAAGAGAAACTTTCTCTTCCTATATAAAAATGCTTCCCGCTCATGAATCGTACTCGAGACTCCTGCGTACCAGAGCAAGATAGGTAACCTCTACACCACAGATGCCGATGGCCTTTACTTTGATCCAGGAGATAATGATGATGATGATGATGATAATGATGATGATGATGATGATGATGATGACGATGATGATGATGATGATGATAATGATGATGAAGTTGATGATGATGATGATATAATGCTGTCAGTTTACTTACGCCCCATCTGGCTCCCAGTTCTTATCTTCTTGAGACGTTGGTTGATAGCTCTCCCTAAAATGACTACGATGACGTAGACCACATATAGACCAATAAAACCTGAGGAGAACAAAGAAGGAACAGGGGATTGTGATTACATGAAATAACTATTCGATATAAATAAATTGGTCAGAAAAAACAGTCACCCTGAGGCTATTTCGAGAAAAATGAAAAAAAACAACAACAACTGGGTTTAAGCAGGAATATATACTTCTGAGTTAAGGTAATTTACAAAAGCCATGACTCAGATCTAAAAGTTCTCCACTCATTTTGTTATCTAATAATTACAAAGTTCTATCTGCTCAGTATCTAGTTTTGAGAAATTTGATGAAAAAAATTCTAAGTTTCACATCATGTCGAGCTTTTTCGAAAGCAGTTCTTTGAAAATCTCTGAATAATCTTACGATTTTGATAAAGCAGATAGAACATTTGTGAGGCAGCGTGGTGGAATCAGGCTCTCGTCAAAATAATCAAAGTGAAAAAACTTGCATTTTCCCGCAGGTTTGTGAATTTTTATCAAATTTTTGTTTTTTGGCCCATTACCTTTCATGCCCATTAAAGAACTCATTTCCGTGTGGATTTTCCTGAAAAACGTTGATTAAAGGCGCAAAAAATGTAAATTTTCAGTTACTACGGACTCTTAAGCTAAGGAAATAACAAATTTTTGGCAGCCATTTTCTCACTAATTTTACCTCTGAAAACCGGTGACCTCCACCTCCTTCTTTCGCAAATATCTTGACTTGTATTCAAGATAAATGGATATTTTTTTCATACAAATAAAGACAAGTGAACAAGCTTTCAGATGACACCAATAACTTTACATGCCCAAAACTTGATGGGAGCCTGATTCCACCACGCTGCCTCACATTTGGTTTCTGACCTCATGGTCTAAGTAGCTCATTACAGTAAAAATGTCAGATAAAACTTTGTAATCCCGAGGTAGCGATTTGGTTAGGTCTTATTTGAGAGGGACATTAAATTCAGAGTAACTCCCCTGAACTATTTTCTCTCTGGTGGGGGTTTTCCCACTATGCCAGAGCCCTCTTTTGGTACAAAACCTAAAAGTGACGTATACATCACTAAATTGGTCAATAAATCAGAACAAATGAATCTATCTTGACAGTTCTTCATCTAAAGAAAGAACAGCTGGTAAAAGACACCTGTTTTAGGAAATTCCTGAAAACTGATATAACGTTGATGTAGTCGTAAACAGATTTGCCTGAGCCACTGCCAGCAGCCTACTGGCACAACAGTTCTGACAGCTGGGAGTGGTTTTTTGGAGAGGACAGAGAGTTAAATAGCCTCTCTGTTTTGAAATGAGTATAAAACCTTTACAAAAATATAGATTGTAAAGTACATATATATACACAATACAGCTCACTGATGAGCTGGGACATGCACTGTACAAGTGCTATTTATCATAAAAATGATCACTACCAGTACCAATTTCTCAAACGTTCACCGACCTGCGGCTTCCACCTGGGTGATCTTCTTGTCCCACATGACGTACCAGGCCCAGAACGTTGCGGCCAGGTAAAAGATGACGTCTCGTAAAAAGGGACGCTCCATGGAGGTGAAAGGACAAATGATGGCAATGGAGCCAGCCACCACCGCAGTCACAAACACACCCGCACCTGCCGCGGATGGGAGAATTCTAATTTTAGACAAATCGGTTAAATAAACACAAAAGGTTAGATGCGCTACTATAGAGTAACATACTAAGAAAAGAAAATTAAACAAAAATAATTTTTTTCAAACCAGAAGGAGAGGAAATAATGATCACAGATGCTCTGCACCTATTAGTGTGGGTGGTTGGCAGGTGCTCGGGTGTGGTTTGCTCCTTCTTTCCCTATCAAAATCTATTGTCCTAATCTCTCCTTCCCTTTTGTGTTTGTTATTCTCTTGTAACACCTCTAATCTTCAGCCCTTATTTGACCTTATTGTGTTGCAAGTTTTGTAAAACTCCAGCTAAAACTAAACTAAAGCACCTATAACAGTAGAGACAGAACATAAGTACACAGATATTTACCAGCTTTCCATGATCATCTGGTTTTAGCAATTTTATTTGAGTACTAAAAATGTGGCCAAGTAAAGAGAAGTCTGTTGACACAGTGGCCACTATATTTTGTTTTAGTAAGTGTTAAACACAATTAGGCCATATTAGTGCCTAAGATTAGAGGTGTTACAAGAGAGTAACAAACAAAAAATAGGAGGAGAGAAAAGGACGATAGATGTTTGAAAGGAAAGAAGGAGGTAACCACATCAGAGCACCTGCCAATTACCCATTATTTATAATTTAAGGCAGGGGAAAAGTAAAAGAAAAGAAAAAAAGCAGAAATAATTGGTGGCGCCCTCTAGCCACATGCTTTTTTTCAGGGTGAAATATCGATCCAGCTAGTCACAAATAAGCCACTTGGGGATACGAGGCCAGATCAACAGACAGATGGAAAGAAGACAGCAAAAGCGAAAAATGAAGTCCCCCTGGACCAAAAATACTGGAATAGGAATGAATGGCCATGACACCCCCCCACCCCCCATTTGTTTAGTTTATCAGAGTCTCAAAAGCATCATCTATACAAAAGAACAATGAATAATTAGCCCTTACCTTGACATAAAAGAAAACACCCCCCCCTCCCCCAAAAAGAAAAACAACAACAACAAAAAAAGGAAAATATCTTCCAACACACCTAAACACTCCCCCCTCCCCTCGAAAAAAAGACCAAAAAAATTATAGAAAAAACAAAACACAAAAAAACCCACAACAAAAACTGAATCATCTTACCGAAAAGAGCGCCAATGGCAAGGCCAGCGTCCCCAGCTTTGGCGTTCCCAATAGCAGCAATGGCGGAAAATATATCTGGTGCCCCATTACCAAATGCCAGGAAGGTAACGCCGTGAGTTCAAGTCAAGGAGAAAAATGTAACGACAAAACCCTAAAAGCAGATCGGGAGATGAGTGTGGTTGATGGGTGGGTGGAGGGCTCTTTTGTGGTCTGATCCTACTTTCTCTGTGATAATTTATTATTATCTTTCAACACCTTAATGTGTCATCTAATAAAATCTTATCAAAAAAATGAATGCTTCTCTGATCAAAATTGAGCAGTCAGTAAAAATCTTTCAATTTCAGTACCAAAAAAAAGTTTAAAAAACCCCCAAAGTAAGCCAAGCAATTTTCAATGCTACTACATTGTATTTCTTTTTTTATCCCACAGACCAGAGGTTGTGGTGTAGAGGTCAATTCACTGTCGTAAGCAGAAGACCCTTTTCGATTTTGTGAGGGGAGAATACTTATTAACACTTTGCCACCTCTTCTCTCGCCGATTGGCGATGCTTACCACCCAGTTTCTTTGGATTCTCCCCAAAATATGATTAAGTATCTCGACCTTTCGGCTGGGACTTTGTATCCCTCTCATCAGCTTGGGTTGACCATGTAAGGCAGGGTTGAGGTCAACCTCCTAAATGATCTAGATTATATCGAAGGCAGTTTAGGCAGCATAAAAAAGGTAATCTCAAAATATCACTGCCCTTGTGATTAGACCGACGAACCACAGCGGCGTAAATTTTATAAGAGAAGAAAAAAACTTGTTTGATTTCATGAAACAGGAACCCAGCTGCCAGTGGGTTATTCGGCATTGTTTCTAATGTTTTAGAAGAATTTCTAGTCAAAATGCAAACCTGTCTTTGGATGACAATATGAAATGGATAATTAAAAATTCATTTGTCACATTTAAAATTTGATCTTTTGTGGGTTAGCTGGTCTTATCACAAGGACAACAACATACTGTAGACACTGAATCAATCCTCTGCTTACAATACATAGATGAACAACGAATTAAATGTCAAGACTACTATAGGACAGTATAACAGCAGGAGCATAAAACAAGAAATCAGACGGAAACAGAGGAAGGGCAGGGCCAGGAAAAAAAGATAGAGAAACATTAGAAAAAAACAACAAAACCATACAACAGGAAATACAATATACAATAAACAAAAAAAACCCATTTGCTCCCCCCCCCACACACTCGCGCACACACACTTGCACACACCACAAAGTAACAGAGGCCGAGTTGATGTGCCTCTCTTCAGTCAAACAAACAAACACTGCTAAATGAACCACTCTACCTACAACTGTTTTTCCTTTCACATTTCTTTATTTTACCCAGTACGAAAGGATATTGCCACATTATGGCTGAGCTTCAGACTCTGAGATATGACTGCTAAAGAAGGACAGAAGCTGTGGAGGAGATAAAAGAATGAAATTATGGTTGATGTGGTGGGCCAGATTGTAAAACACACAGAGCTTGTTGTTAGACAGGAATTTACGTTATACAAGATTTCAATATGGTGAAACTAAAACAGAGGGTACCAATGGGTTGGGGGGAAAAAATACTGATCTTTTCCAACTTTCTGGAAATGCTCACTTGAAGACTACTCAAAATTCACAGATCCTACTGCCTACTATTTCTTGTATCAAGATGAGTTTTGCAAAGCTAGCCCTGAAGTCGGGAGGAAACAGCAATAGACAATTACAGAAATCTGTATTTCTGAACTTATTTGGAAAAAGTTTTTTCTGAAAAAAACAACAATACCCAAAGAACACCAGTATCTTGAAATAACACATACAACCTGTTTAAAAGAAAAAAGAAAAAAAAAATCGAACAGAAATATGCCACTTTCCTCCGACTTACATCTTCGTACCATAAAATGTACAATGCAGATATAAATTCTAAGCAAGATTTTTTGTTTCTTTGTTTCTTAGAAGGAAACAAACATGAACATGTTAGACAAAAAAAATGTCAGGGAAAAGAGAGACGAGAGAGAGAGTGAGTGAGTGTGTATGTGAGAAAGAGAGAGAGAGAGAGAGAGAGAGAGAGAGAGAGAGAGAGAGAGAGAGAGAAAGAGCAATAGTATTACCACTCTTTTGAAATGAAGTCCACAGTGTCAGCACCTAAATTATCACTTTTTTAGTTTTAGTATTAGTAAGCGCTTTACGGCACTTGCAACACAATTAGGTCATATAAGTGTAGAAGATTAAAGGTGTTACAAGAGAGTAACAAACATTTATAAAAAGAAGGAGAAGAGATAAAGACGATAATTGTTTGATAGGAAAGAAGGAGGTATCCACACCAGAGCACCCGGAAACCACCCACTAAATTATCACTGTGCTAAAAACAGATAAAGACAAAAGTAAAACAAAAAGCAGAGAAGTTGGAGGAGTAGGACTGTAGACTTTATCAGAGCACCCCCCCCCTCCCCCCACCAAAACTTTTTGTCTACTAACACATCCCACTTATCACACTCCCCCTCCCCCCACCAAAAAAAAAAAAAAACCCCTCCCAAAAATAAAACCACCTGTTACTTACAAATCATCAGCAGTGACTGCTAGTCCAGTGAAGAGGAAGAACCACCAGATAAACTGTGGAGGTCAACAGAAAGGCCAAGGGTTACTTACTAAAAATAAAACATGGACAGACCAAGAGCACAGACCAAAAAAATAGCAAGTTGGCGAGCAGTTCAGGCGTCCCATGCTCAAAATTGTGATTAATTCATCATTCTCTTTTTTAAAGGCAGTTTCTTAATCAACAAGCAACCAAACAGACTAGACAACAACAACTTCAACAACAACAAAAAAGGACAACAACAACAACAAGGACAGGAACAATAACAACAACAACAAAAAACAACAAGAAAAAGAAGAGTAAGAAGAATAATAAGAAGATAAACAACAACAACAAGACCCACCAGTCAACAGCAACAACAACAACAATAACAACAAAAACTAGAAAAAGAAGAGTAAGAATAACAAGAAAAATATAAACAACAACAACAACAAGACCCACCAGTCAACAACAACAAGAACAACAACAAGATCAGCAACAACAACAACAGTCAGGAACACCACAAATTCCAGCGGTGGCATCTCTTCGGGGAGGATTCAGGGAGGTTGGACTGCCTCATCCATTACCCAAGGGAGGCGGTGGCCCTGGAAAAGGGCATGCTCTTCGGGGCTCCAAACATTTCGAACCGATAGGCTACCACACACACACACAACAACAACAACAGCAACAACAACAGCAACAACAACAAGAACACTCACCAGGATAAGACAAGCCACTTCTATCACCAGATTGTCGAGAGTACAGTACAGGAAAGCGGTGTAGTTGATGAAACCTTCGTCAATGTCGCACGAACTGGTGTTTCTCACAAAGGCACAGAAGTCCGTGAGATTGGGAATGGAGTGGAGATCGCTGCACTGTTAGAGAATAAATAAATAAATGGATAAATAAATAAACAGAAAGACATACAGACAAACAGACAAATAGATTTTATAGACAATACTTAAATACTCTCTATGGGGACATTTGGGTTACAATGACAAACAAAGGAAGTTCCTCC